AGAAAATTAAAAAATGAAAGAAAAAAAATGCCGCGAGTTAAATTTCTTTTATTAAAATGTAAACTTTAAAAGGAGCAAATGCAAGAAGAAAGAGATGAGTTTGAGCAATATGCTGATTTTAATTGAGGGGAGAAGGGAGGGTAGTTTGAAATATATTATTTAAAGGTTTAATAGGATTTATTGAGGTTCAAACCTAACCTCATTGTTCATTTATGCTTCACTTCCAGCTTTAAGACCGATTCTTAAACCAACATTTTTATAGAGCTCTAGTATTGAGTTATTGGTAATGTTAAACAACTGAAAAAGCATAATTACAGAATTGCAGGATTCGAACCTATGACTCTCGAGCTAAGAAACCAAATTTTTTGTCAAGAGCCTTTCCTATTACTCCATAGAGGTGCATAATTGATTGAATGTGAGATGACAATGTTTGATAATGCTCATAACCAGAACAGAACCCAAAAAACCAATTGAAAAATTCAATGAAATTTGTTTCCTATTCAATATTGCTTCATTTTAACGAAGAAATTATTTTTAAAAAAACTCCAAAAATGTATCGTCTGTCGTTAATTTCATTCTTGATTCCATACTTTACTCATCCATCCGTACCCACGATGTTCATTTTTATTATGATTGAATTTCCATTCAATTTTCGAAACGCTCTTGAAGTAAATGAATGAGAAAAATTTGCTTTGTGCATTTTCATGGATTTTTTATTCGAAGGTGAATTTTCCTTTGGCTTTCCATTGATGGATTTGATAAGTGGGTTTTTTGAAAATTATTCTCAATTTTCCTTTGATGGAAACGCGGATAATGATGAGTTTGATGAATTTTTTAAATGAACAAAAATTCCACAAAAAATCTTCAGTTCTTTCCTGACTCACAACGACGTCGGCAAAAAATTAAGACATAAAATAATAAATTTTATTTCCGTCCATCATCGCAAAAAAGAATGTCCATAGATGCGTGCAAGATATAAAAATATAGTTTTTATGATTCCCATTTCTGTGGCATATGCCATAACTATAAACAGTCAAATAGTAATGTATGTGATTCATATAGATAACCTTACGGATGACACAATCAAACTAAAATCTTACGTCCGTCGTATCCTCCAAAAAAAATAAATATTTTACCGCTGCCGCATATCCTCAAAATTATATGTAATGAAAATATATATAAAACTAATAAAAAGATTTACCTTATTGCATTTATAAATAATCATTATGGTTGGAAAGTAAAATGCTATAAATGACTGTACGTGCTAGCCATCTCCGTCTTATTACTCAATGTCTTTTTCCTTTTTACTATACTTTCAGTTACTGTTGTTGTTTTTATATTTTTATGATTAGTTATGATTATTATACCATTAGTGTCATTCTTTGATCATATTATGGATCAATAAATTTATTATAGGCGAGGATATGTGTTTGTGGAAGGGATGATGTTGAGGAAGGGGACTGTCAGTGATTTTTTTTGGATTTATCATGATTTCTTAGAGATCTTTTACTTCTGATTGAATCAACCTTGCTTTTTAGGCCACTTTCTCGCTCTGTCACAAAATTCTCTCTTAAAAGTAAGACATCATTCATGAACGACCCTAACACTGCTATTACTTAGCTTCAGACATGCCTCTAAGGTAATGGAAAGTCACAGGCACAAGCAGCCCTACCCACACCTGTATAAATATAAAACATCAATTTAAGGATCAATTCTCAAGTAAACTGTCAAATTTAAATTCAATTTCCTCTCAAATACTTCCTCTACTCCCATCCAATTCTTATCAATTTGTCACCTTCCCCAAACCTCCAAAACAAATATCCTCGACAAAATAAAAACTTTGGCAATAAAAAATTAAAATTAAATTTTCAAAGTGTCAATTTCATTCTCACGTAGCCTTTCCAACTTCCTGTGTAATGTTATCACGTCGTCTCCCTCTTAATCACATTCCTGTCATCAGGATATTATTTTCTCAAAATGATTGGCAATAAGTAAGGTATTACAATCCACCGTTCGACCTGTTACGAGTGAAAAAAAAATGGAGGGTGGCAATTTAAAATTGAAAATTGAGATACTAGCTGGGCAACAGGTTAAACTAGGGATGGATGGATGGATGAAAAACGGAAGCACTTTTCCAGTTTAGTCATGCTGACATGCTGTGATTTCTCATTCAATGAATAGGGATTCTTTTTAGGTGCTGCGTTATGCGATGAAACATGAACAAAAAAAAATTTGAAATTAATGATACGAGTTTGATTGACTGGTAAATGATTTAATTATAGGAGGGTTGTTTATGGACGAAATTCCTTTATATATTTTTTTTGTTGAAAGTTTTCATCGTGGAAAATTGTTTTCCGGTCAATTGAGAATTTTTTTTTCATCATAAAGAATTGCTTTAATGATAAAATGATGATGATGGAAAACCTGTTGAAATTTTTTTTATGATTTCTCGCCTTTAAACCCTTTTTCAATTCGACTGTGCAATAAATCAAACAAATTTAATTAATGAGTTTTTGTTTTCTTTTTTTTTCATTTAATTCTTAACCCTTGTGAAATTGTCCAAAAGAAGGCCTAAGAATGTTGCATGAACTTTTGTTTTCTTGTTATTTTATGTGACCTTCTTCACCCTCGCTCTGTGGATCATTCTAGAATTTTTTTTGTGTTATTTTTTCATTTTATTTTTTTTTATTTTGAGTTTTTTTTGTCTCTTTAAATATCAATTCGATGTTGGTTTTAGTTGAACTTTTAATTTGTAAACTCTTGTTTCGGAATTCTTGAAAATCTTTTTGGAATCTCTTGGAAATCTGTTTGGGAACTCTTGAAAATCTGTTTGGAATCTCTTGGAAACCTTTTTGGAATCTCTTGGAAATCTCTTTGGGAATTTTTGGAAATCTGTTTGGAATCTCTTGGAAATCTGTTTGAGAACTCTTGGAAATCTGTTTGCAATCTCTTGGAAATCTGTTTGCAATAACTTGGAAATCTGTTTGGAAACTCTTGGAAGTCTGTTTGGGAACTCTTGAAAATCTGTTTGGGAACTCTTGGAAATCTTTTTGGGAACTCTTGGAAATCTCTTTGGGAATTTTTGGAAATCTTTTTGGAATCTCTTTGAAATCTGTTTGAAAACTCTTGAAAATCTGTTTAGGAACTCTTGAAAATCTGTTTGAAATCTGTTGGAAACCTTTTTGGAAACTCTTGAAAATCTGTTTAGGAACTCTTGGAAATCTGTTTGGGTACTCTTGAAAATCTGTTTGGAATCTGTTGGAAACCATTTTGAAATCTCTTGGAAATCTGTTTGGAATCTCTTGGAAATTTATTTGTTAACTCTTGGAAATCTGTTTAGGAACTCTTGGAAATCTGTTTGGGAACTCTTTGAAGTCAGTTTGAGAACTCTTGAAAATCTGTTTGGAATCTCTTACAAACCTAATTGGAATATCTGAAGCTCTACAAACATCAATATAATAGCAATATCTCAAATAACTTAAAACAAAAATGATTTCTTATAAAACAAAAATAAGAATCTTACGTCATATCGAACGCTATAGTAGATTTAAGGATGCTGGCAAAGGATTGAATGAATAAAAAAAATATTAGTAATAACAATAACAAAAAGAATGGAAAAAGGAGAACATAATTTATAGCTTCGAATAAATTAAAAAAATCGCGAAATGGTTACGCATTGAAATGGTTGCATAACATCAAGGCATACGCATAAAAGAGCAAAAAAATACAAAAAAAAACGAGATGTAAGAATGGAAAGAAAAAATCTTGGGTTTTGGCAGCTCGAGGCTTCATATTGTACTCAACATGGAAAATGAATTAAATTGCTATTATGAGAAATTGCAAATCCGAGAAAATTAAAAAATAACAGAAAAGAGCACAGAAAAGTAAATGAAAAAGTTTTTTTTCTGCTTCCTTCTTTATGATTTTTTATTTCGAATGACCAACACCTACAATGGATGGATGGGTGATGTTACACAATTTTTACATTCAAGATTTTCGATTGACAAGTTTATTTTGTAATTTTTAATTTGAAAAGCATTTTTTACATAATTTTGTGGGTGAGGCACAAAATTAGATTTTGAATGAGTTTGAGACTGAAAAGGATTGATTGTCATTTAACAATGAGCTAAATTGGATGGTTGCTATGTTTGAAACCTTATAGACTTTTTAAGGATCTATAGGAACCACCAAAAACTTTCATTAAAGCTGTAAAAACTTAATAAGGTCGATTGAGACTTGTTGACTTAATTGAGACTTACAGATCAATGACATATTCATCTTTGGACAATATGCAGATCTTTGATCAATCTCAAACTCCTCCTTCTTTTCATTAGTTTCATTTTAATCCCAATTTCAACTCTTTTTCCAAGACAAACAAATCTTTCCAGCATCACAGCTTGGCGAAAAAACAACAGAAAAAAAATTATTGAAACAATAAATTATTAATTTTTTTCTTTACCAAGCTGCACCAGCTGTGCTCAATATGTTTGAAAAATCATTAAGTCCTAAAGCAAGAGAAATGAGAGAAATAAAAGTTTTCGTTTCCCTTTTTCGACAAATTTTGCTACAAGAAAAAAAAAATTATCTTGAATTCAAATCGCCATTAGAAAGGGCTACGGAAAGGGTTGAGTAAGAAGAACGAAAAAAATATTTTTTAATTAAATTTTCGCCATTAATCAATTTAAGATACTTGATGCATGAAGATATGCTTTGAAATATTTATGATTTATTTGTTTGGCTTTTGATGTTGATTTTATGAATTATTGAGGATTTCGGTGCATTTATTTGACTGCATTTATGCTTCTTTATGGAATCTACAAACATTCGAACTTAGTTCAATCAAAATTAGGTCTTTTTGAATCAAAGCTGAAATAGAGTGTTACTTATCAGTTCATTTAAAAGTTACAAAATGTCGCGGGTTTTAATGTATTTTTGTGGCTAGTCTAGCTTAATATAAAAACCAAATATCAATAATCATACTCATTAATCGTTTTACAGTCCGATAACCTGGTTTGAAACTAATCAATTTACTTTATTAAAAATTGAAATTGACAACGTTTGAAATAATTTAACCAAAAATTCAAGTTTAATCATCAAAAGTATGGAACAAAACTCATCAAATCTTCAAAACAATTGGAAAAAGTTTTCAAACTTGAACTCATCCAATTCAACCTTGCCATCAACATCAACCAACAGCCAACAGCACATCAATTCAAGGACAAACGCATCAACTCAAACAAATAATAATGAAATTGGCTCCTGTGCTCATGGATTAGATGAGAATGAAGCTAAGAAGATTAAGGAAGAACTAGAAAGAGCACGAATCCAAAATTCCAAAAAATCTTATACAAAATTAAAATGTTTAATTGCGTGATTTATGGTCGATGACATTGAAATTTGTAAAATATTGTATGTGAATACTTTATGTGGTTATGACAATGCAGGAAGTTTTAATAAATAATTTAATAAATGTTTAAAAATCTATAAAAATTGATAAAATTGTTTCAATTAGATAAAATATAGTTTTAATCACGAGAATAGATACAAAAGTTGACGAAACTCACGCAATAAATTTTCATACATTTAAAACTGAATTTTAGTTCATAAAGTAGTAAATTATTGCTGTATTAGCAAGCACAACTCAAAATCTACATAATAATTAATAAAATAAAACAATTAATAAGAATAAGAATATCTAAAATATCGCCAAAACCACAAAGACATGGCCTTAAAACCATTTAAAACATTTTGTTCAGAATCTTCAATCCACGGAATCCCCTACTTTAGCATCGATAGCATTCATGCGACTGAAAAGATTTATTGGGCTATAGCAACGATAATTTCGTTCATTTGTTGCTTAATCTTGGTTGGGCAAATTGCGGTGATGGTTAGAGATGATATTACTGTGACTTATACATCAGATACTTCGATATCTGTTACTGAGGTAAGTTATTGAGCTTAATTGGTCTAAATTGACTTTAAAAAGCTCGCTAAACCTTCCTTTACGTATCTTTCACAGATTGCATTTCCTTCAGTTACTTTATGCTTTGAACTTTTAAGCTTTGGAAATCACACACACTCAAAGTATCACGTTATTAAGGAACAACTTGAAAATGGAGAAATAACAGTTGAGGACATATCAGAGCAAGAGTAAGACCAGAACTAAGAATAAAAAATATTCAAAAAACTTCAAATTAATTTTTTCTCAGCCTCAAGACCCTTCAAGCTATCAGCCTCATAATATCCGATGACTTTCTCCTTCATTACAATACAACTAGAATCCCAACACATGATATTATCGATCACATTGAAGAAATCACTTTACCAATCAGAAAACTGATCCTTACAGGCACATTTAGTGACATTTATGCAGTAATATTTGCCAAAGTCATCGGACCTCGTGGCATATGCTATAATTTTAACATGGTTGAGTCACAAAAAGTTTATAAGAATTTAGATAAAGCACCAAAGGTATTTAGCTACTCACATGATATCCTGTACTTTACACAAGTTCAAAAATACGGAAGTGCTCCAATAAATCAAAATAAAATCAATAAAACTAATCCACTAAACCTAACAAGCACTAGCTCAGATTTTCATATAAGAATTGCACCAAAAGACAAGAGTATGAAGTATGATTTGGGTGAGATCCTCAATACTTATGACTACTTTACACATGCATCGCCACAAGTTTACATAAATAGTCCATTTGAGATGTACAATAAGGATTCAAACTCATATTTTACCAATCAAGCTAATAAAATTGCATATTTTGTGGAACTAAAGCAGACAATTATTGATGAGACATTGATGGAATATGAAGCTAGTGTGTAAGAAAGGGTTTATTTCTGATAGTCTGGCCAGTGGTAAAAGCCTAATTCTATTATTATTTTAGTCGTGGATGTTACTTCAACGCCGATGGTCTGGAACGAGCAGAAGATGAAAGAATCCTCAAAAATTTCAAAGTTTATACAAAAGGAAATTGTAAGCAAGAATGCCTGATCAATAAAACCTTGGAAATCTGTGAATGCGTTCAGTTCTTCATGATCCGTGAGTTCTTAATGCCAATTTTGATTATAATCATTAATTACCTATTTTACAGACGAAGAATCGATAAGAATTTGTGGCGTTCATGACATGAAATGTTATAAGACAGTTGAAGCTGATTTGGATGCTTCTGATGAATGTCACTGCTATCCAGGTTGTGGTGAAATTATGTATAACGTTAATCGTGTTCAGATTGGATATATGTAAGTTATTATACACTCATATAATGCATGTGGCCAGCTTGCAACCTTATTATGTTACAGAAAACCACTTCCAGTTCCAATATATGAAGCATACCTGGAAATGAGTAAAAATGATAAATTTGATTCGTACACAATCGTAAAGTTCCGCTCGATATCTTATTTTCCATACATGCTGAAACGCCAATTCACAGAAATTGATTTCATTGCTTACACAGGCGGGGCTTTTGGATTATTTTTGGGCATATCCATCATGTCATTTGTTGAAGTATTTTATTACTTTACGATTAGATTAATATTTGCCTATGTTAGGGATAAGAAGAAAGATAGGAAGGTCAGAGGAGAACTTCCAAAAGTTCTAGAGCAGGCGAAATCAAAGCTGAGTTATGTAAAGTTTTATTTCAGCATTTCAACGGTCCATGGGATGATCCAAATTATAATGGATAGCAGGCACTTTATTGAAAGGTATATTGATGGATATTAGTTCCGCAAATAAGATTTTTATCAATGTTATCGGTAATTTCAGAATATTTTGGACACTCTGCTTAGGATTTTCACTTCTTTACTGTGGCTTAGCATCCTATGAGATGTATGAAAAGTTTGAGCAATCTACAATTGCAATCACTTACGATTCTGATGAGCGATCAGTTGAGAATGTAAGTGCCTCTCTTGCTATATATCCTGTAAAGTTCTTCAATTTAGTAAATAAAATTTCAGATTCCTTTTCCAGCAATATTCATAACTCCTGAAGTTTACCTGCCAGCACCCATCGTAGAAATGGCTTGGAATTTGGGAAATATGAGAATTCCGGCTAAGTTTCATTTTTCTTATTTGAAAAATTTTGGAATGTTGAACAGGTATGTAAGAGTCTAATAATTTTATTCAAGTGTCTAATTATTTACTTAAAGATACGTTGTGTCGTCACTAATGTGCAACTACAAATTTGCTTTAAATTCAATGAGCCTTAATAGAAATACAGGAGTTGAGGATCATGTAAAAATAATGAAAGCTTATTCTCTCGCCGAATGGTTTAAGGAACAATCTGCTGTATGGAATGACAAGTATAGACCTGAATTTGCAGAATTTTTGGGTATTAATGGTATTGGCTTTTCGTTCAACATGTTGAGTCCCGGGAAGCTGTATTATGAGAAGTAAATATATTGTTTATCTAAGTCTTAGAGACTTGTTATGCCTTAGATTCACACTATTCTCGAGTCAGATCTAAAAACTAACAGTCCTTTACTTCCAGTGTGACAAAACATTTCACAGACATAAATATAATAAACTTCAACACTAGCGAGCAAATAAAGCACTTGCAGCCAATATTTCATACAACATACCCAATTAAAACACATGGACGATCAAACCTAGAAGTGACTTTAACAAAGCATAAGTTCATTCCTTACAAAAGTGTCTGTCAAGTGCTTTACTTCAATGTCCATTCACCATTTGAATTTCCTGGAACTTATGATGAAGAAAGCTCAATCAAATTCTATTACGGACAGGATCTTGATGTCTATATATCACCAGAAGTGATAAGGTCTGATGAAGATTTGAAAGAATTCACGCCTGAGCAACGAAACTGCTATTTTGATGATGAAATAAAGTTGAAAATGTTTAGAGTCTATACTCGAAAGAATTGCGAATCGGAATGTCTCGCTGAATTCTACCTAAAGGTTAAAAAACTAAAATGTGTTCCTTATTATATTATTCGAAACTCAACAATGCCGGTCTGCAGCATCGAACAGTCAAATGATGTAAAGTTCTTTAAAAAGCATTTTGAGCAAAATATTACCTTAGAACATCAAAGTTCGGATACAGTAATAAAGCAATGTGGATGCTTAGACTTATGCAATGATGTCCAGTACAATATAGAGACAATAGAGAGAAGAACTGAAGGAGTAGTTAAAGACAAAGACAACTCAACAATAACAATCAGATTTTTGTACAAATATGACAAATATCTGCCGCTAGTCCGACGCATTGCATTCACATTTGAAGAGTTTTTGTGTCAAGCTGGTGGATTGCTTGGACTATATGCTGGAATTTCAGCATTGTCTGTTGTTGAGTTGCTGTATTTTCTGACAGTCAGGCCTGCTTTTAATTTCTATCGGTTTATTGTTGGTAAGCTTTGGAAGCATTGAACTCATTTATTGATTTTAGGGCTCAAGGTTAAAGTTTCTTAGCTTTTGACAATGTAAAAGCTAGAACAAATGTTTTATTGTAAACTGTGTAAGTTTGCTGTGGAGTTGTTACTCAAAAGTCTCAATAAAATATTAGAATTCCTTCATTTCTTCAAAAGTTCTACATTTTATAAACTTTTATTCATCACCTTTGAACCAGTTCTTTACATAATCTATTACTCCTTTGAATTGCTCGTAAAATGCCTTGCCTGCTTTAATTATACCTGGAAAAAAGCACACATATTGATTACTTATTTGATGTTTGATCCAAAACAATCTTAACTATCAAAACTTACCAGCCAATCCATCTTCACTTTTAAACATATTTAGTTCCTTTCCAATATTTTGTGCTGATTGTTCTCTTAATTTATTGTATTCCTGTTCATAGAATTCCTTGTCGTTCTGAAGTTTTTGAAGCCATTCTTTGGACTGAGTTTCTTTTTGAGCAGCTTGTTCGTAAAGGTTTTGAGCTTCTGCAATTCTAGCTTTTAACTGCTCGACTTCTCTTCTGGCTTGCTGATTATCACTTTTGATTGATGATAAAGCTCTTTGTGCTGCCTCAAGTTTGGCTGTTGCTTCTTTTGCTTGCTTTCTTGCTTCTTCGTCTTTTTCTTGAGCTTCTTCGAGCAACTGTTCCTGTTCAATCCTGTGTGTTTTCTGTTCTTGTAATTTACGAAGTTGGGACAGTGTCACAGCCTTCCATTGCTTAAAATTTTCATCAATCTTCGCTATCAGTTCTTTTCTATGATTGAATCCGTCAGCATTTGAGCCAAATTTCTTCTCAGAATTAAAATATTTCAATGCTTTATCCTTGGCAGCTAAATGAAGCTTGTTTATGTCTTGTTCAGTTGAAACCTCTCCATCAAAAGAACTAACAGCTTCAACATAAAGATCAACACTTTTTGCCATCAAAATTGAGAATTGTTTATCCATTGTTGACTCATAGATTGAGACCGCCTCAGGCATGCTGTCATTCTTGAAACTTTCGACATAACTGTTGATGAAGACTAAAAGCTCGTCAGATTTGATTGCCTTTCCATTAATCATCTTTGGCTTTAATTCCTTGAATAAATGGTTAAATAGTTCAGTCATTATTGTCACAAAATCATCATCAATTGATATCCATCGTCCATCGAAACGTTTGTCTACAGCAACAGTCTTGCCTGGGTATGGCATTAAAACGCAATTAATGTTCTTAAATGATGACTTGATGTACCTTCTTACTGATTGTAGCTCTTTAGACTGATGATCTTTAATTTCCAAGAATCTATTAAGATAAGCATTTCCTCCTCTAAGTCCATATCTGTACTCATCAACACCATTCCAATCACGGATTAAAACCAAGAGATCTTGGAATGGTGTCTTGTCAGAATCCATGGCACTTGACCCAAATCGAGCATATTCAGTTGCGAATTGAAGATATTGAAGCTGATCTTCATGAAGTAAATTGAAAATATTCAGGATTTGAATAGATGAGATCAAGGTACTGAGTGAAAAGATCTTGGAATTCTCAGCAGTTGTAGTCTCAGTGTCGAATAATCCTTGAGTATCCATAATATAAATTGCATATTTCTCATTTCTAGGTCCATCGTGAAGGAACACATCACCCCATAAGATTAATCCTTTTGTGACTCTTTCTACTCCTGATTTCCAGTCGAATCCTGTGAGAGGTTCTTCAGGCTCCCCCATCCAGTCATCTCCTTCATTGATTAGCTCTGTGCTAGTGAGGCTTGGGTACTAGATAAAGGAATTATAAGTCAGAATAAATTTAATCTCCAATTAGAAACTACTCACATGAGCATAAAGATACCTCAGCAAATAATTCATCAAGAATGACTTTCCTTTCCTAAAAGCACCAACAATTGAGAGCACAACGACTTTTCGATCCTTAAGTTTAGAATTAAGGAATAAATTTTTAACAACTTCTTCATTTAATGTGATTGTTGAATCATTTCCAGTTGCTAGTTGCAATAATTGTACCGGTGCCTGTTTTTGGGCTGTAATTAAGTATTATTCAAGATTATTGTCTATAATTAAATTCATAATACTTTCACGTAAAAACCCAGGAATTGATAAGAAAACAACTTACCGATGGAGTTCCCAGAATAGCTGATTACAATAATCAACGAGAATATTATCAGAGTAAGTCTCATCTTACTTTCTTGCTCGAGTGTAGCAAGCGAATGAATTTGATGCTCATTTTGATATTGAATATATAGAACTTAAAACTGGGAGAGATTAAGGAAAGCTATTTATGGTGAAATTCATTTAAAGTCAATCTATTAAATTATTCGCATCAGTTTGAATTTATTTTTGAGAAAAGATTTGTTAAGTCAGTTGTTGATCTGATTTTTGATGAAAATATCAATTATTGGTATCATGTGTTTATAAGGGATATTCGATAATTTGAGAACAACGAATTTTAAGGTCTACAAACTTTAAATTAACTCTTTTATAAAAAAAATGCTCAATTCATCCAACTGCACTCTCTTAGTGAGTCACAACACGGTGATTCCCAATTCTCTTCAAACATTCTCAATCGCTCTCATCTGTTCCTTATAACCAAGATGCAAACTCGTTTCAGACTTTATTTCAAAGAGAAGATTCATTGAGTAAAGATCAAGTTCTTATTCAAGATGAAAAGTGTTGTTGCTTTATTTATAGCGATTTGCACACTCGCATTATCAGGCTATACCATAGGTAAGTGCTGTGATCTTGTGACGTGAACTTAGGTCATGTACTTTCTTTAGATTATCATATTGAATTTTAAACCTGTCAACACGAAACTCGTGAAACTGAATCATTAGATAATAATCACAATATTCCTGACTTCTGCAGCCCAACAGCGATCACCCGTGCAGCTATTACACTTATCAGCTGGAAACAATTCAAAAATCGAGTTTAATGAAAATACAGTTCGTGATTTATTTTTTAATCCTAAACTTAAGGATCGACAAGTCATTGTGTTCTCAATTGTCGGTGCTTTTAGGAAGGGAAAGTCATTCTTGATGAATTATTTACTTAGGTATCTTTATGCTCATGTGAGTAGAATCTTCTTGAAAATTAAATTTATTCTGACTTAAAAATTCCTTTGTCTAGTACCCAAGTATTTCCAGTACAGAGCTAATCAACGAAGGAGATGACTGGATGGGTGAGCCTGAAGAACCCCTCACCGGATTTGACTGGAAATCAGGAGTAGAGAGAGTTACAAAAGGATTAATCTTATGGGGTGATGTGTTCCTTCATGATGGACCTAGAAATGAGAAATATGCAATTTATATTATGGATACTCAAGGATTATTTGACCATAAAACAACAACCGCAGAGAATTCCAAAATCTTCTCACTCAGCACCTTGATATCATCCATACAGATCCTTAACATTCTCAACATCCTCCAAGAAGATCAGCTTCAATATCTCCAATTTGCAACTGAATATGCACGATATGGATCAAGTGATTCCGATCAATCTCCATTCCAAGACCTCTTAATTTTGATCCGTGATTGGAACTCAGTCGATGAGTACAGATATGGACTTAGAGGAGGAAATGCTTATCTCAATACTTTCTTGGAAATTCATGATTATCAAACGCGTGAGCTACAATCAGTAAGAAGATATTTGAAGTCATCATTTGAAAAAATCAATTGTTTCTTAATGCCATATCCAGGCAAGACTGTTGCTGTAGACAAACGTTATGATGGTCGATGGATATCGATTGATGATGATTTTGTGGCTATGATGAATGAGCTGTTTAATCATTTATTCAAGAAACTGAAGCCAAAAACAATAAACGGAAAGACAGTAAAGCCTGATGAGCTTCTAGTCTTCATCAACAGCTATGTCGAAAGTTTCAAAAATGACAGTTTTCCTTCAGCAGTTTCCATCTATGAATCAACACTAGACAAGCAATTTCGAATTTTAATGGCAAAAAGTGTTGATCTTTATGTTGAGACTGTTAGTTCCCATGATGCAGAAATCGAAAGTGAGGAAGACATCAACAAACTTCATTTTGCTGCCAAGGATAAGGCATTGAAATTTTTCAATTCTGAGAAAAAATTTGGAACTTATTCAGAAGGAATGAACTTTAAAAGGGAACTAGTCAAGACAATTGAGGAAAGCTTTAAGCAGTGGAAGGCAGTCGCAGTTGTTCAACTCCGAAAAATCACCGAACAAAAAGCTAAAACAGATAATCAAGTCAAATTGCTTCAAAATGCAGAATCAATGGACAAAAATGCCAAGAAAAAATTAGAAGATGCAGTTGCAAAGATGATTGAAGCAAAGGAAGCATTAGATCAAGCAAAAACTGACACAGCAGAAGCAAGACGCGAAGCTGAAAAACTGAAACAAAAGTTTGAGGATGCACAAAAGGAACGAGCTGAAGCTATTGAGAAGGAAAATCAAACCCGAGAATGGCTGAGAAAAATGTCACAAGACAAAGAGTTTTATGAGCAGGAATACAACAAACTTAAGCAACAAGCAGCAATGAATGTCGGTGGGCAGCTGTCAAATACACAAAGTGAAAATGGATTCGAAAGTAAGTTTTGACATTCCTTAAGTCTTTAGTCATGTTTTTTCACAATGTTTATCCATAAATACAGGAGTTGTTGGTCGAATCGGAAGCTTCATTGCCAAAGCCGCTCCAATCATTGCGACTATCACTAGCTGGTTTGGTTGATACAAAGCAAGCGAAAGAGACGAGGGGATTTCTTATGAAAATTGATAAGACTTTGCGGGTCTGTGATTATTGTGGCCTATAAAATTGTTTATTAACACAATCGCGTATGTGAGATTCACTGGGAATTCCCGACTTTATATTTTTTGTGATTTTTTTTTTATTGAGTGAAGCTTGATTTGCAAATAAATTTGATAAGTTCAATTACGTTCTAATTCTTATGTTTTTTGTGGGTATGTTCTTTTCCAGGGATGAAGTCTTAGTGTCCTAGGTCATATCATGTGCTCCGGTATTTAGACTATCCCTTCTATAGCTAATATCGTACCAATGAGTATTTACAGCTTCAAAAATAAACATCAACAAAAATAATTAATCTCTTGATTTTTAATTCTCTTCTCTCGTCCATTCCTCTCATGATCCTCAGCTGTTTCATTGTTTTCTTCTCAATCTCGCTCATGTCTTAAATCTTTTTGGCTGTGATCATTTTTATTGAAGCTGTTCGAGAACATGGAAGTACGAAAGATTTTAATAATTTTTTGTTCGACTCTTCTTTTTGCGTCATGCAAAGGTCAGTAATTAAAGGAGGCTAATTATTTTCTGAGAAGCATTAATTCTTGTTACTTTTCAGGTTCTGAGATTTTTGGGGAACAAGTTCAATTGCTTAATTTTGAGAATAAAAATAAGACAGTAACATTAGCAGAAGGAGCACTAGAGAGACTCTTTTTGGATCCACAAGTGTCTGATCGTGAAGTTGTCATTGTGTCAATAGCTGGAGCACTAAGGAAAGGAAAGTCATTTTTGCTCAACTATATGCTGCGATATCTATACGCAAATGTAATAATTTAAATTTAGAAAGCCACAATTCCCGCAAAAACAAAACATTCTTTATCATTATTTGCAGTATAGGTCTATAAATACGCCCGATAAGGTTATCAATGAAGCAAATGATTGGATTGGTGATCCTAATGAACCATTGAAAGGATTTGGATGGAAATCAAGCACGCAACGAGAAACGACTGGAATTCTGTTCTGGTCTGACATTTTCCTGCACGAAACTTCAAATGGAGATAAAATTGCGATTTATTTAGTGGATACACAGGGACTGTTTGATCATTATAGCTCACCGACTGATAATATTAGGATCTTTTCATTGAGTGCATTAATGTCGTCTGTGCAGATTATGAATATGTTTAATAATTTACAGGAGAGCGATTTGGATTTTCTGCAAGTAAGTTAATAATTACTGTAGATTAAATAGGAACTATGCGTTTGCAGAAGTTGGAACATACTTTAATTGCTAAACATCAATAACAGCTTATATAAGAATTTTGTAAAAGAAACTTCTAAGTCAATAGTAATTGAAACTGAAAAATACTTACTTAAATTGAAGAAGTTCCTAAAAGAAATCAAACCAAAAACGATGTTGATAAATGTCTTATTAAAAGGTTGTATTTTTTACCCCTTTTTTTAGTTCGCAACAGAAGTAGCCCTATTTACAGCAGTCGACGATGAATCTATCAAGCCATTCCAAAAGCTTTTTTATATCATTCGAGATTGGAGCACCCCAGATGAGTATGATTATGGACATGAAGGTGGGAATCAATTTATCAAGTCATTCCTTAAAATTCGAGATTTTCATTCAGAAGAATCAAAGAAGGTTCGTCAGTACGTCCAAAAGTCATTTGATAGTATTGAAGGATTTTTGATGCCACATCCTGGAAAGATTGTCGCCAGAAATTCATCGTATGACGGTCGTTGGGGTTTGATTGATGAAGATTTTGTTGATGTTATGAAGGAATTAGTTCCACTTTTATTGGCACCAAAAAATCTAGTAGTTAAAACTGTGAATGGAGTGACTGTAAAGGCTTTCGAGCTTGCTGTTCATATGAAGCAGTACATCGATCTTTTCAAGTCTGAATCCTTACCAGAAGCTAAGACAATTTATGACTCAACACTGGACAGCCAATTTAATATTTTGATGAGCAAGTCTGTTGAAATTTACGTCCAATCTATTCAGCTGTTCCAAAATAATATTACAGTTGAGGATGAAATTGAATCACTCCACAATCTGTCTATGGCCATAACATTGAGATATTTTGATGATGAAAAGAAGTTTGGAAATGAGCAGGAAATATTAAGCTTTAGAAATCAGCTGATTCATAAGCTTAAAAAAGCATACGATGAATGGAAGCCAATTTCATTGGAACTATTGAATAAAATAAAAGTGGAACAAGCAGAAGCTGATAAGCAACGAGTGCTGGCAGAAAAGTCTAAATCAAATGGCGATCAATTCAATCAAAAGGCTGACAAATTAGAAGCTGAATACAAGTTAATACAGAAGAAGTTAGAGACAGCACGTTATGACTCAGTTGAATCACGTAAAGAAGCTGATGTGATCAAGAAGAGATTAGAACAGACTGTAAGAGAAAGAAATGAGGCACTGAAAAAGGCAAAAGAGGAAAGACAACGGTATGAAGAATTATTCAACAGAGTCAATGCTTTGGAACAGCAGTTGTTATACGAACGAGAGAATGCACAACGGCAAGTCAACACAAGAGTTCAGAAAATCAGAAAAAATGATGGAATTCTGCAATATTTCCAAGGAGTTGTGCTGAACTTCAATAACTTCATTCAAAAGACATACAGGAGCATCGCAAGCTTTTTCAGCTTTGGTGCATGGTGAGTTTAATGGAACCTATTAAACTGATTGGAATCAAATTAAATGGACTTATCACATTGTGACCAAACTGTATAATCTTAAACTTTATACTGATGTAAATAAAAATTTACATTTTACTTAATCAAAGATGTTGTTCCTTTATGTTACATATTTCAGATGATATCATAGCTTCAAGTTACTCATTTGTATCATAAAGCTTCTTCGTCTATTAAAGTTGACATTTGAGCTTTATTTTCATAAAAACTTTCAATTGGCAGTCAAAGAAAATGTTTGTGGGTCAGTAGCTGAACGATTGTAAGTTTGACCACAAGCAAGACTGAAAATTGTGCTTTCTTTTGTCCCAACCGCATTTAGGTGATTTTTTTGGCTGATGTTTACTCTCATAACCACTGAGCATGCTTTCCTAATATTCTGGTTCACAAAATCGATTTCATATATAAAGCATAGTGGCACTGCTAACTTTATCATTAATTATTTGAACTTAGTAAAATTAAGACATAATCAAAAAATGTCTGGAGAACCATTAAACATTGTTCGATTCGTAAACTCAAAAGTTGAGTATGATAAAGGAGCTTTAGAAGGATTATTGCTGCATCCTGATGTGAAGGATCGAAAGCTAATTTTCATTTCCATTGTTGGTGCTTTCAGACGTGGTAAAAGTTTCTTTCTTGGCTACTGTCTGAGATATTTGTATGCTCATGTAAGTTCACCTCAATTCAGCTCCAATTAGGTCTTTTAATTAACTTTACTTCCAGTACAAATCAATCAAAAATCCTCACAACTTAATCAATAATCCGAATTGGATGGGAGCTGCTGATACTCCATTGCAAGGATTTACATGGCGTTCAGGAACTCAAAGAGACACAACAGGAATTATATTCTGGTCTGATGTCTTCCTTGTTGATCTTCCAAATGGAGAAAAGGCTGCAATGATTATTGCTGATTCTCAAGGACTTTTTGACACTGAGACATCAACTGCTGACAATTCCAAGATCTTTTCACTTGTCACTTTGATGACATCGATGGAAATCCTCAACCTACAAGGAATTATTCAGGAAGATCACTTACAATATCTACAGTTCGCTACTGAATATGCGAAATTCACAACTAATCAGTCAGGACAGAGTCAAAAGCCATTCCAAAATTTCATGTTTCTTATCCGAGACTGGAGCAATCCCGATGAATATCCATTTGGATATGAAGGTGGTCGGAAATATCTTGATGAAATTCTTGTCGTTAAGCCACATCATCCAGCAGAGTTGAAATCAGTTCGGGAATATATAAAATCATCATTTGATAAACTGACTTGTTCCTTATTGCCATATCCAGGTAAAACTGTTGCTCGAGACTCAAATTATGATGGTCGATGGGCTCCAATGGATGAAGACTTTTTGAATGAGCTAAAATTGTTGATTCCAAAACTTTTGTCAGTCGAACATTTGACGACGAAGAAAATCAATGGAATCGACATGACTGGCGCTTTAGCAAATGAGTACTTCCAGCAGTTTTTAAATATTTTCCAATCAAGCACTGTTGTTCAACCGCAGTCAATTTATGAGACCACAATTGACAAATTTATGACATCACTTGTGAATCGCTGCTTTGATATTTACAAGAACTTTGTCAATAACTCAGTCAATGGAATTCAGAATGAGGATCAGATCAACAATGTCTTTAATACATCAAAAGGCTCTGCAATGTCAACATTTGATAATGAGAAGAAAATGGGAAGTCCAGCACATGCTGCAAATTATCGAGCAATTCTTAACACTAGAATTGACAATGATTCTGTCGGATGGAAAGGAACTACAATGGCGAAAATTCTAAAAGTTCGTGAAGATCAAAGAAGAGCTGAAGAAGCAGCACGAGAAGCTGCAAGGTTACAAAGAGAACGAGAAGAACAAGAAAGATTAGCAAGAGAACGACAAGCTCAGCTTGAAAGGGAAGCAGCAGAAAGAGCAGCCGAAGCTGCACGACAAGCTGAGATTCTGAGACAACAACAACTTGCGATCCAAGCTGAACAGGAAAGACAACGACTAGCTGAGGAACAAAGGCAAAGAGAAATTGCAGAACAACAGAGAATCGAAGCTGAAAGAGCTGCTGAGGCTGAAAGGAATCGCCCAAGAAAAAGGAAGAAGAAGTGCTCTATTATGTAAGTTGGAATGGATTGGATTATATTGACGAATAAAAGGAACTGAATTTATTATTATGAACATTAATTAATGCTGAGTTTCAAATTGATAATTGAATTTTAAGTGACCTTCTACCTAGCTAGCATATCACTAAACTCGTAACTGTAAAATTTAATTTAATTATTTTCGAACAGAATTAAAACCTAATTTGTGGTTTATAGTAAATGTGGTTTGATATATTTTATTACGTCTACACTCGACCTTTAAAGAAAGCTTCGAACTTGATTTTGTAATTTAGTAGATTATTGCTGATTCATTGTACTGTGTTGTTTTGCAAGTTACTGACACTTGTGATTCATCTTAAAAAATACTTCAATTTTGTTTTTTTGTTCCATTCGCATTCTCTTTATTGACTTGCTGATTTTTAGCTTTTTTGGTCGTCTTCTTTGACTGGTTCTTTTTGGTTGACTTTTTAGTCTTCTTGCGTCTTTTCTTTTTGGTAGTCTTTTTGGATTTTTTTGATGTCAAGGCGTTGCTTTTCGTTGTCAATGTTCCATTTACGGCTGATCCAATAGTTGTTACAGAATTATTTAAAGTGGTAGCTGTGTTAGCAAAGGTACTTGAAGGAAAACTAGTTGAAGAAGCCACAATAGACCCATCAAGCTGTAATGAACTTGATTTAGTTGTAAGAGAAGATGAAGTTGGTACAGGAACAGTAGACTGAGTAGGAGAGATTCCTAATATTGGCAAAACAGATGTAGGAACTGCTGTTGTAATGGTTGATGATGACCCAAGCCCAAAAGGCAATCCAGCTCTTCCAAAAAGTGATCCCATAGTCGAAGAAGTAGAAGCAGTTGTCTGGATAGGCAATGCTGATGTAGATTGTGTAAAAGCTACTGTAGTCGACGGAAAGACTGTCGTAGATACCACTTTTGCATTTTCTGGTAAAGAACCCATTCCAAAAGGCATTCCGACTCTTCCAAGAAGAGATCCCATATTTGAAGGCACAGTAGTAAGGTTTGAAAGAATAGTTGTAGTCTGATAAGAAGGTACAATTTTGGTTGTAGAAGATGAAGCTATTGAAGTGGTGGAAATTGAATTTGTAACGTTTGACAGTCCTGCTGGTTTTAATGATGTAGCAGACCCTGAGGATGAAATTGTTTTTTCTAGAATATTCATTTAAATCTCATAATCGTTGGAATATGCTGAATTACCAGATGATGCAGTTGTGGCAGTCAAATTTCCAAGCTTAGAAATCAATCCAGTTGTCGTCAGACTCAAAGGGGTTGTTGTCGATCCTGAAACTATTGGATCATCATTAATTGAAGTTGAAGCATTAAGTGATTTCATGATTTTTGGTAAAAATCCTATCTGCATAGCACCAGCAGGACTGAGTCTAGTGAATTCACCAGGTGCAGATAAGTTAAGGGAAGGGCCAGATACTAAAGCAGCTGGCATATGCGGAATAGAAGAATTTATTGGACTACCAGTAGGAAGTAATCCACCTAGCATCATAGGCAATCCCACAAAATTACCTCCAAAGCTCGATACTGGAATCGTAGACTTGATTGGACTACTAGTTGAAGTAGATTTCGTCGACATAATTGTTGTTCCATTTGATGGACTGGTATTAGAATATAAAGTTCCTGGTCCAAGGAAAAATGAAATTGGATTGATCCCTGATGGTCCTCGCCAATAAGATTGTGGAATTCCCGAAGGTTGTTCTGTTGTGGATGTTGTTGTTGTCGTTGTCTTCTTTCTCTTCTTTTTGCATTTAACTGTCAAGGATTTAATTTTTGAGTCATAAAGATGCAAACTTTTTCAATTTTAATTTCTTACTTCTTTTTCCCGCAGCATTTGTTGGACATTTCTCTGTGGATATAAATATAGATTATTAAGGTTTACTTGCAGCACAGCACATAAGAAATCAATAATTACTTATAAGTTTCTTCTTCGTTGTAGCTATCGTTGTGGTTTCTGCATTATAATCATAATTATTATAATAATTAGCTTGTCGTTTCACTAGCGTCCTTATATCATCCTCATCGTAGTCAAATCCTTTAGAATAACCAAGAAGACTTAGTAAGAGAAGTAGTATCGAGATGATCAACCTCATCCTTTTATCAAATAATGTTAAAAACTATTTGAAACTCAGAGAATGCAAGACACAGCATTTTATAGGTATTTCAAAAGCGGAAATAAAATATTAATAAGTGATGTTATTAAATGTGTATTAAAAAATCATGAAAATTTGATTAACTTATTATTCTTACATTAATTTTCATTTAAATTCGAATTAATAGACATTAAAAAAATTAAATCAGTTCATGTTCAAAACTACTAAGTTGTAAAGCAGTGTTTCTTAAATTTTCTAGACCTCGGAGCAATAAATGGTCAATTGTTCATATTTCCGCACAACCCTGGCACCCACTTTTGACACATCTAGATTTTTTTGTGTGGAACAGTAAAGCTCCATGGATCATAGTTTGAGAACAACTGTTGTAAAGTTCTTAAAATGTAATATTTTGTCAAATCAGCTTTGACTAGACTCAAAACAGTTACAGATTAAATATTAAAACTCAAAAAGCAACTCACACATCTTATTCCAGACTCAAATTCCACACACTACAATCCATTAAACCTTTCTCCATCACACAGCAACAAAACTAAAAAGATTTTAATTTTTTGATAAATTTTTCGGAAAATGAAATTGAAAACATTCATCGTTTGGTGTGTGTCTCTTTTAGTTTATGTATTTAGTCAACCTGTATCATGTCTTACTTTATGGTGACAGATTTTAAATTGCACTTTTCAAATAAACAAGTAAGAATTGTGCTGTGAGTTGGTGATTTAAAGCGCATTTTTGAATTTTGAAGTGGGACGTTTGTACAAATTGTGGGTTTCAAACCTTTCAGTTGATGGTTTTCTTCCTTTTAGGGACTAAAACCACACTGGAGCTAGATCAAAAATTTCAAATGGTGGTTCAAGATTGTCTCCAAATTGGAGGAATCTAGTGGAGACCATTGTACGCTTCTTCCTCTTCCCTTACCCCTTCCCCAACCAAACAAAGTGCCAATCTACATCCACACATTTACCAAATCATCCAGCAAAGACATTTTTCATACGCAAAATATTCATAAGCCTACCAAACCTAATCTAAACTGATCTGAAGAGGAATGGAAAATGAGAAAATTTAGCATGCAGCAAATACGAGAACATGTCCACTACCTCAAAAACAATTTTCCATTCCTAACCTCAGCACTAAATCAAAAATGAGCAATTTATCAATTTTCTAATTTTCCAATTAATCGAACATGTGTTTAGATATTTAAATTCAATTGTTGTGCTGCATCTAAATCTATAGTGATTGTCAAGGCACAAGAGTAATTTATATTTGTTGAAATTTTGTAACAAAAGGGAAAATTGAAATAAATTTATCAAAAATAATAATATTTTTTGTTCCTTCTTTTGATAAATGGATTCAGATTTTCTACAGCAAATAATAATGTACAGGCAATGCCGATATGAAAGGGAAATATCTGAATTTTCTATATTTGCATTATGCAATAATAAATATATTTGCATTCATATTATGTATAAATTTAAGCTTCTATCTTTCATTCAATGTGTATGCATGATTTTCAATTCAATTGAATTTGCCTGCCTGCTTTCCTCTCTCTATCTCCGGCAACAAAAGTAAGTAAATGGAAATAAATTGCTAGTATATTACAGCAGGAGATTGTATTCAAAAATTATGGAAACAATACAATTAATAATCATAATGGATTTCTATATATCATTGGATGCATTTCAATTTTGAGGAAGAACAACAATTTTTGGGGATAACTTAAGTTGGAGAATTTATTTGTGTATTATGCAATCAGATTTGAGGAGGTAGATGTTGGGATGGAGATGGGATGTTGTAGTAAGGAAGTTTGATGAAGATTTCTGAGCAATCAAAGCTATACTAGCTAAAGCATCAGCAAATCTTGATCGGCACACATTGAAATTCATTGAAATGTCACAACTACTTGGCATCCAGTTGTAGGTTGCTACCAAGCAGCTGTCGCTTGGTTCTAATCATACTATCAACCCGAAAACCCAAAATATCAAAAATCTTGTAAGGAACTAAGCATAAATCCACTAAAAATACCTAGAACATCCTCCATCCACCATATTTGCAGCATTGAATCAAATAATAATATCGTTAGATCGTAAAACTTCTACTTACAGAAACAAACAAAAAAATGCATTGCAATGACAGTGGAAATGATAATAAAAATCTACTAAAAATAAAGTAACAACTTACTTACTTTCCGTCTTGACTGCTACATACACATATCCCTCACTCACTTCACAATTTTCATGCTTCATTTTCTGGTTTAATAAAAACGAAAATGTCATAAAATTCCAATAAAAACTAAACAAATTATTGACGAGAAGAAGTGAAAGGAGATGTCAAGGAACAGTAAAGAAATGTCTTTCATTATTCAATATTAATAAAAACGCATTCTACCCCTCAATATCAACATTTTTTTTTATGTCGCGTGTCATGGTTTGATAAAAATCATTTTTTCGTCATAAAAATTTCTCACTCATTTCTCGGGTCTGAGTCTCTTATACTTTTGATTCCTTTTTTTTTGCGGTAGTCACGAGTTTCTTTCTGTAGATTTTTATGATCTCGTGATGGATCTTCATACAAGAAATTTCATTAGACACGACAAATGGATGACAATAAGTATAGATGGGATGAATAGTACCTATAAATTCTTTTTTGCTGTTGCTGTATTAAAAATGAAGAATGGAAGAACAAAAGATGATTTTTTGAGTTGATGTGATGGATGCGACCTTTTTCTCAAAATGAAAGAAAATTGGAAGTTGTAAAAATTTTTATGTTACTTAAATCATATTTTGTTGCTAGTTTTTAAGTGAAATTCTGTGGGGTACTTCCTTTGGGTTATGTGACTTTTACTTAGATTTTTGATCATTTATTGGCAATAAGAACTGAAGCTTGTTAATGGAACATTAATTACACGTTTTTTTTTGAATTGATGTTGTGACTAAAAGAAGGAATTAGGAGTGAAGGTTAGTGAAAGTATCACGTCACGCCTACAGAAGATCGAAACGAGAGCCTTAGTTTATTTGAAACCTAGATTTAAAGATTAGAAGTTTGATCCTACATAATATTAATTCATATGTATACAAATACAAAAGTGTAAAATGTGAATTATTACCGGACAGTATGTCGTCAATAAATGCAATAAAGTGCAATTAAATTGAAAAAAAAGGTTATTTATTGAATAATTAAATTGAATAGCCAGTTCTCGAATAGCACAAGTCGTTTAATTGAATAGAAATGCGGCACCGAGTTAGCGTAACTTTGGCATGGTGCTTAATTCGATTTAAATCTAATGTCATGCCAGAATCATACCAACTTGTTTCCGAATTCCTATTCAATCAAACGACTTGTGAGAGGAGCAAGTGAAAGCATACGCAGTTGAACTATAACGAATAGTGTTAGGACCAGCTCACAAGACATAGCTAGAAGAAATCATTTACTCACGATGAGTTTTTTGATTAAATTATAATTTTTTAAACTGTTCACTGGAATGACATCAAACCTCATCGTTCCCAACAATTTTATAATCCCACTAAATCATGAAATGATCCACTAAACAACCGCTCTATTAAATCCAACATTAAATCCATCAAAAAGCATTTTGAACCCCACCACTGATGAATGATACTCAACAAAAATCAATTATTTAAAATAGTAAAAAAAATATCCAGCAAAGTAAAACTTTACCCTATAAAACATTAACTAAAACAGAAGCAAAAAAAAAAAATCTGCAGCACAAAATCTTTACGACATCAATATTCCTCATTACGAAGAAGAAATTTGCCATAAAAAAAATTTTCATCGCATAATAAAAAGTCATAAAAAATGGCAATGTCGAGATGGAGAACGAAAGTCATCAATTCAATGACCAATTTATCACTCGATTGCATTTATGGCTTATTAGATCTCTCTAAAAATTGACTTCATTCCATCCTCCCCGAAAAGATTATCTTTTCAACAAAATAAATCGCATTCAATTCATCAGTGTAAGACTGTTTATGCTACTTAATAGAGTGTATCAACATATCAAATGAAATTGTTTCATGACACCAATTTGCCTAATCGAATGGTTCACAATTTATGGGATATTTCTGCTCCTTTATGAGGTCGTTTTCATATCAGTTTCAATAATCTCTGCTTGTTTTACATGCATGCAGTGCGAAAAGATTTGTAGGAAGATGAAAGTTCTTATGATATGCTTGGACAACCCCTTCAATTTTTAGAAAACATATCTACATAAAAAAATCATGTTAACCCCTTTTTGTGCTACTTTCTCTTCTTTTTTTTTTGCAGTGGCAGAAATAACCTCATGGGGATGGAAATAAAATAAAACATATTGACTGCGTATCGTAGCGATAAAAAGATATTTTTTTGCAACATTGAGGAAATTGCGGCATGTATTTTGTCAATTTTATTTTTTTATATTCTCTATTTTTATCTACCCTTTGGTCACATTTATTGTTTGAGTGGTGGATGTTTAGTGAAAGTAAAAGGGTGAATAGATCAGTGGAATGCTGCATCTAAATGAGTAAGTTTTCAAGATTTTTACTTCCAATATTCAAAGATTTATTTCCAGAATTCCTGAATTCAAAGATTTTATTTACAATATTACAATATTTTTTTACATAATTCCTGAATTCAATGAATTTACTTCCAATATTCCAAGATTTATTTCCAGAATTCCTGAATTCAAAAATTTTATTTCCAATATTCCAAGATTTATTTCCAGAATTCCTGAATTCAAAGAATTTACTTCCAATATTCCAAGATTTATTATCAGAATTCCTGAATTCAATGAATATACTTCCAATATTCCAAGATTTATTTCCAGAATTCCTGAATTCAAAGAATTTACTTCCAATATTCCAAGATTTATTTCCATAATTCCTGAATTCAAAGAATTTACTTCCAATATTCCAAGATTTATTATCAAAATTCCTGAATTCAATGAATATACTTCCAATATTCCAAGATTTATTTCCAGAATTCCTGAATTCAAAGAATTTACTTCCAATATTCCAAGATTTGTGTCCAGAATTCCTGAATTCAAAGAATTTACTTCCAATATTCCAAGATTTGTGTCCAGAATTCCTGAATTCGAGGATTTTACTAACAATATTCCAATATTTTATTCCAGAATTTATTTTCTGTTTTCAAGACTTCCATTATTTTACTTCTAGTATTCCTAAAATCATTCCAATAGTTCCAGAATTCAAGATTTCATTTCCATCATTCTTAAAGTTCCAGAATCCTAAAATTAATTCAAAAATCATCTCAGTTCCACAAAATCATTCTATAGCCATCCAAATTCACTGCCAATTTTCTCAAGCAAAAATATGACAACAAAACACAATTTTTTATTCCAAAATAAATACAAAAAATAAACAAATTTAATGGTCTTATAGCTGGAAATCTTTCACAGCTAGAGGCGATAAACTCATGTGATTTATGAATGCCTATGCAGCACTTCTATGTTTATTGCTCGATTGGTCTCATTACTTTGAAACGTCAGACGAGAGCGTTATTAAGGCAGAAAGAAAGAAAAACATGAAAGAAAAATTTTTTCATTGGCTTTATTACTTGACAATGCATCATAAACATTCATTCTTTTTATTTTTCAAATTAATTCCATAGTTATAATTGATATGCTGATGATGATGATGATGTGAATGATGTGTGTGTGTATAACCTACTATTCTACCTTTACATTCGTTCTATTACATCTTCATGACATCAAACGAAAAATGTCAGTGAGCTTCGTTTCAAGTGCTCTGGTAAATAAACTCCAAAGGAACAAGTTTGGATGTGCTGGAACTGAAAAAAAAACTCAAAAATTCAAGTTTGATAAAACTAAAATTATTATAACTTAGGGATTTGAACCCACAACCTCTTATGTTAGCATCATTATTATCTTTATCAAATCAGACATTATCACAATAATTCTGAATTTTCATAAGTTGCAAAGCATCAAAATAAATGACAAACCACCTCCAATCCAACTCAATCATCCTCAAAAGTCTGCTAAAAAATTGCAATACTTGCATAAGAATATTCACAAGTGTTTTGTCATCTCTTAAAGTGAAAACTTTTTTTTTTAACTTCAACGAATGAAAATCATTAGCTTTGAAATCTTTGAAGAACTATAAAAATATATCCAGCTCCTCCGACCCCATTTCAACTACTTTACACAATTTCCTTTTGTTTCTCAATTGTGCATCCATTTATGTTGACATTTTGCTATCTTTTTACATTTTTCATTGTATTTATTTATAGACAAGTTTGAGTGGAAATGAAGGATTTATTTTTGGACTCATTTGTAGCTGCAGGTTGTTATTAAGTGTTAGTTTTGATATCAAATTGAAGTTGATGAAGAAATGAGCGGAAGGCAAAGTTTTGTAAAATTAACTCTGAGTGGTCAGAAAAGGGATAAATAAATAGATGGAAGGATGAATGGATTTCTGTGAGGATTCGGAGTTGGAAATCTTGTAAATTGAGTTTTGGAAGCATTTGATTTTTTTTTAATTTTCTAGATTTTTCAAAAATTTCAATTTCTTGAAAAATTATCAAAAATACTCAATGGACTACCTTTTAACTGCCAGTGTCATTAAGGCATCTTAACACAGTAATGAGAGCCAAGTGGACCAATAAAGTAAGTTACAGAGCAGCACCAAGTCACTATCTTGTCAATCTGAATCTCAATTCTACTCAATACTGTCCATTTCCATCTCAAACCCCATCCAGTTTCATCAAAACAGCATCAACAGAAGCAGCAAAAAAAAAAGAATTCAAAAGAGAATAACAACAGAAAAAAATAAAACTTTTCATAAAGGAAGGAGATGAATAAATATTTGCATTATTGTCAGTAAAAGTTTCATAGATATATCCTGTTGAGATGTGAATGTAATAGGAAGATTCATTGTCGATTGTGAATGACTAAAAAGGATGTTTGAATACCATTATTCAATATTTATTTGTTCTTTATTTTGCTTCACAAACAACAGCTCTCAATGCCTTGATCGTTGGAATTGTGGGAAGTGATTTTTTTGGGGGAAAAGAGGTTTGAGGGATTGAAGTGATTTATTTGTGGTTTATTTGGTGATTTTATGTCAATTTTTAAAGATTGTGTCTTTTGATGATGTTTTAAGGAATTAGCAAAAAAGTTCCAATAGGTTAGAGCAAGCAGCATGCTTTAATAAAACAAAATTCATCAGTTCCAATTAAATGCAATAGCGCATCTATATTTTATTCAAATAAAGTATGAAAGTGATGCAGTTGGGTATGAAAGTAAACTTTTAAGTAACTCATCGAAATCCTTAAACAGATTCCAACAACAATGCAATACCCTGACCACCACCAATACAAGCTGATCCAACAGATTTCTTCAAGTTCTTTCTCTTCATTTCATGCACAAGATGTGCAGTAATTCTTGATCCAGAAGCACCAAGTGGATGTCCCAAAGCAACAGCACCGCCATTAACATTTAATTTATTCAAGTCAAGTCCAAGAGCCTCAGCACATGCCAATGTCTGTGCTGCAAATGCTTCATTGATTTCAATTAAATCCAAGTCATTGATGCTCCAGCCGGAAAGCTTAAGAACATTTTGGATTGCTGGAACAGGACCAATGCCCATAATCTGTGTGTGGAATAGATGGAAAAAGGAAAGATAAATTTCTGAAGATTTATGCTGCACATATGCAAAAAATATTTATAAATCTTACAGATGGATCGACGCCAACAGTTGAGTAAGCAACGAGACGTGCCAATGGTGTTAAATTGTATTCCTTTAAAGCCTCTTCGGATGCAAGAATGACTGCACTAGCACCGTCACTAATACCGCTGGCAGTTCCAGCAGTTACAAGACCGTCTTTCTTGAAAATACTTTGAAGTTTGGCGAGACCCTCAAGTGTCGTCTGTGGACGTGGATGTTCATCAACTTGGAATTGCACTTCCTTGCCTTTAACTTTGGTTGTGAATGGAGTAATTTCGGCTTTAAAGACACCTTCTGCATTTGACTTTCCCCACTTTTGTTGTGAATTGAACGAGAATTCATCGACTCTGGCTCTTGAAATGTTGAACTTCTCGCCCAATTTTTCAGCTGTCAATGCCATTGGAAGTTTGCAGTATGTGTCAGTTAATCCAGCCCATAATGAATCCTCCAATGCATAATTTGTGCCTAATGTAGTTCCAAATCGCATGTTTCTAGCGACATAAGGTGCCAAACTCATACTTTCAACACCTCCAGTCAATACAACCTTAGCGCCACCAATAAGAATGTCCTGTGCACCATTAACAATACTTTGGAATCCAGATCCACACAAACGATTAACAGCAAGTGCTGGCTTATCTTGTGGAATTCCACAATTAAGTGAAACATGTCGTGCCATGTAAATTCCATCAGTTTGTGTGTGTGGCATGATGTTACCGATGACGACTGTATCAACTTTATCGGGTGAAATATTGGCTTCCTTGAGTGCAGCCTGAGCAGCAACAGTTTGCATTGCAGTCGGTGTTGTGTTCTTGAAGGTTCCACCGAACGTGCCAAATGCTGTACGCTTAGCACCGACAATGAAAACTCCTGTGAGGTAAGAGGAAAATTACTATAAGCATCAAGGTTGCCAAGTTTGCAAACGAACGGATTTTGATCACAACCGTAATCAAGGTCCAAAGTCCATGAGATTATGGAATTTGAATCTATGTCATTAATTACTACGTATTTTGTACGGAACTAAGCTGTTTTGATGATTTTATGACTCAATCTTACCTTTTGTGATTCCAGACATGATTAAAGTTTAAAATTTTGGAAATAAAAAATATAAATTTAATAATGTTTATGTTTTAAGCCGAAATGTACTGCAAGACTGATGAACTTGTTTTGAAATGTATGTAATGTCTCTCTCGTGAACCCACACATCCATAAAAGTTTCTGTACTAAAAACATTTGAGATAAGGTTTTACTCTCTTGAATGAGAGGAATCTCACTTGGTTCTCTCTTTAAATATTGGATGTTACCTAAGCTGGATAAAGGTTGTGTTTTGAATAGATATTTTTGATCCACATGCGGATTTCTGTACCTGATAATGAAAGTTGAGCTATGTGACATGCAACGTTGGTGGCTGCAATAAACATTTTTGCGATAAAATATCAATGTTAAGCTATAAATCGTCATATTTAAGATTGAAATCTTGAATACCAAATTATATAATTTTTATGGACACACCGATTATATTATCGAACTGATTGCTTTATCTACAAAATTAAATTTTGTGTGACATTGCATTTTATAAACTTTATATGGAATGTGAATATTTTTATGGACATAAACCGTTACTTAAATTGGTATTGTCATGTACTGCGGGAAGTATAAATTTACATTTATAAGGGTTCGAATCTTATAAGTTTAAATTGATGAATTTTGGTTCGTTTCTAGAGTCATCCAGTGGAATATCAATAGGTTTATTGAACGACCATGGAAGATGCATTAGGTTCGAATCCTTCGTGATAATAAACTGTATAGTGGTTGTGTATAGTTGACTTGGTAGTCGATCATAGTGCTAAAGCCTTCAACTTGCTCTTATAAAACTCAAAATAAAAAGCTAGTTCTTAATTTTATCGATGACACTTGCCTCTAACCGCTTACAACAAAACTAGACATTAATATACAAAGAACTCCAAAAATAAAATTGCAGCCCCAAGAATTCCTTCTTCCACACAATCTTCATCACGATGATGAGTCGTAATAATCATCATAAGCAGCATGAGTAGACTGAAGCATGTAGAATCCACCTCCACATGCCAAAATGCCAACATTATAGAAAATGAATAAAAAAGCCATTCTTTATCATTTCTCTTCTTTTTGCCATTGCTTAAAATTGAAAATGATATTGAATGACATGCCATGGAGAAATGAAATGACATTTGCACAATCATTTATTTTATTTTATATCCATTTTCTTATATTTGTGAATCTATTCTGACTTGTAATCCTCACTCGTCATGTGTAGTATAAGAATTTACGTGTACATATACACATTCAATCACATGAAAGAAAAAGGAAGTAGGGAAAAATGTGACGAGGACAGTTTTTGGAGAAAAGTTTGGGATTATTCCTTTTTATAGATAAATAATAAAAATTTAGTTCCTACAATATATCGTAAATCATTTTGATGGAGGATGAAATTTATTTCATTTGATAGCTGAGTGCTGGATGTATGTGTAGGAAGAGTACCAATCATATGATAAATGATGATTATTTTTTCATTCTTATAGTCGGATAGCTCACTTCGTGAGTCTAAAATGAATATTTTATAGAATATACAACTGTCGGCAGTCTTTGAGATGATTTTGTGGGAAATGTTCAGGAACTGCTAATATTTATATGGTTTTATACAGAAGATGCGAACCTTTTTTAACAAAGATGCGGGCATTTTGACAAAGATGCAAATAGTTTGGATGAAGTTGCGAACATTTTGGATGAAGTTGCTAACATTTCGGATAAAGATGCAAACATTTTGACAGAGACTCGAACATTTTGACAAAGATGCAAATAGTTTGGATGAAGTTGCGAACATTTTGGATGAAGTTGCTAACATTTCGGATAAAGATGCAAACATTTTGACAGAGACTCGAACATTTTGACAAAGATGCAAACATTTTGGACAGTGATGCGATCATTTTGACAAAGATACGAACTTTTTGACAAAGATGCGAACATTTTGAAAAAGATGCAAAAATTTTGACAAAGATGCGAATATTTTGCACACAGATGCTAACATTTTTGACAAAGATGCGACTGTTTAAACGAAGCTCACAATATTTGAAATTAACAGACAGAAATTTACCCAAAATCATTATAGAAAAACTTACAACAACCGCTTTTGAAGTGAGAAAAGACAGAGAAAGAAAAACGAAAGAAGTAAAAGTTTTTGCCCTCCAGAACGATCCCATCATTCGAATGAATGCCAAAAAACTACTTTGTTGCTATAAAGAAATTTTCTCTGACTGTATTCATTTCGGAATGTCAACGAAATCTGATAACAATAATGGATAATCATATTTCTGTCTCTTCTTCTGTTCTTCTCTTAAAATGGCATACACTTTTATCAGAAGAGATGATGCGGCAGTACTTATAGCTGTGACTGTGCTCAACTCGAGAGAAAGCATAAATTTTTCGGAAAATGTGCAAGGAAGAAGGTGCTAGACGAGAAATTAAATTGATGTAAATTTTCACGACAAAACAGATAAATGTTGTGGTATTAATTTCAATTGTTGTGCATGGAAATTTTTGTTTTCTGCAAAATGATTTGAGTAAATCACTCCGTAAATGGTGAGATGATAAACTAGAGTCGGAAATGTAGAGATGGCTTTTAATGGTGAGACAATTTGGTAGGTAAAAAAAAGTCAATTAAAATTTTTTTTTAAATTGAAGATTTTTAAGGTAGTTATGTGATATGCAGTAATGCACGTGGAGCAAGTCTTGTCTGGCGTGCAGCTCATCAACTTTAAACCCCTTCATTTTGAAGATTATGAAAAAAATGCATAATAAATCACAGTCATTAACTTCTTAATATTTTATTTTTGTCTAACCTAAGGCAAATTTCTTAAAAATATAGAAATAATAATAAGTAACATGACAGTGAATTTAGTCTACAATGCAGATATCCATAAACAATTGTGCATGAAAAAAATATTGTTCTTCATCTTCTTAATATGCAAAATTCTTTCCTTACCTCAACTGATCTACGTAATTCGTAAAATGAAATGAAATTGTTAGGATAGGAACTATGGATGGGTATCTTGGGATGTACAGTCTTGCTGAGACTTTACTTAAGATTGAGTCAGAAGCGTAGTCAACGAGATTTTGGGATCAAAAAACCTCCATAGTTTTCGGGTGTGTCAATTTGAATTAAAGTCATGTGATCGACTAGGTTGAGGCTAGTCATAATCTCAACTTCGGGATTTGAAACCACAGTTTGTGATGATTGAAGGAGGGCACCTCCTTCCTCCTTTTTCAAGACATTTGGTAAATTTTACATTTCCATGACTAATCAAAAACAGAATCTGATCCACAACATCATGAAACTCTTCAAAGTTCCACAATTTTATTGCACAATTCTAAAATATTTTCTAATAAAAATTACAAGTGCCCATTCCTTGCCTCCCATTTCAACTTGCATCTGCATAGTCGTTACTTCCTTTTATAAATTGCAAAAGATATTCATATAATTTTAAAACAATAGCAGAAGCAGCAGCAACAAAAAAATGATTTTTTTACTCGTCTTGATGAAGATTGGAAAATGGGCATCAAGGAAGGAGGCAACAAAAAGAAAAAAATTGTGCAAAAGACTGTTGCCCTCATGGAAAAGTACATAGGTAATTTTTAATTATTTCGGTTTTGCACACAGGTATTTTATATCAGGAATATCAACATCATCATCATGTATTTTATTTTACACAGAAATGTGCCACACAGATTAAAATTAATTTTTCTCGAGGATAAGAAACGGAAGTTATAATAATATGAAAATGTAAAGGAACATGAGAGGATGGAGATGAGTGGAATGTGAGGCAATGGCAATGGCTTTTTATGTTTCAAAAAGGAAAGGAATTAACAGATTCTTCCGAAAAATGCCATAAAGTTGCTCGAAGGAAAATGCTAATACTTCTCTATACGCTGTTCTGTACTCTTTCTGTGGATGTAATATTTCCACTCGAAACAAAACAAAAATATTTGCCTTTGACTGCTCATTCTATGCTGGCTGATGCTACTACTTTTTGTTGTTTTTGGTGCCTGTAAATTACAAAAAGAAGAATGAAAAAAATATTGAAATAAGAATGGAAGTTAGGTGATGTCTTTTGTGGAGATGGAATGGAGAGGTGCATTTTTTGTGGTCTTTTGTCTTTTGTGGAATTTACGGGGTATTTTGACATTTATGAAGAGTTTATTAAGTTTATTAAGAAACGGAAGCTACAAGACTAGAACAATGCTTTGCTTAATTGCTTTCAGTTTGTGCTGTTAAAACAGCACATGTTCTATAATAAACTTTCTAAACTCAAAGTTTAACAGTCTTGTGAAATTCAAAATTTAACGGTTTTGTAAAGTTCAAATTTTAACGGTTTTGTGAAATTCAAAATTTACCGGTTTTGTAAAATTCAAAATTCAATGATTAGAAAAAAATCAAATTTTAACGAACTTTGTAAAATTTCAAAAAATCAAGACAAAATGCTTCAACCTTAAGCTTTCCAATTCCATCAACCCAAAAAATCCAGCTCACTACAAACATATAAAAAGTGATTTTATTCGTATTTGTACAAGCGATAGCTCGCTATGAAAAAAAGGTAAAAATAAGCAAAAAAAAAGTAGAATCTTTAGCAGCACATCCACACACACTCATTCTCTATATGATGAAAGAATTTTCCACAAGATTTATCTAACATGGAAAAATTATTTTCATTTGGTGCGCTTTCACGAGCTGAGAAAAAAAGGGGCTAAAGAAATCGGGGCACAAAAATTCTCTTTTTACGGTTTCTAAAAAAAATAAAATAAAATAAATATGGATGCGGTAGCATTTGAATGTACCCATATCACAATAATAACAACAGCAGCAAAAGCAAAGGAATAATTTTTTTTTCTGACTCTTTCAATGCCAGAAATGAAAATAAAATAAAAAGGAGAGAAAAAAAAATCATCCGTTTGGAGATAAAAAAAATAAAGCAAAAGAATTTATCATGGATGGAAAAATCAAAAGGAGAATTGGATGAAAGATTAAGTAGGAGATTAAAAGAGTTGAAGCGCATTTTCCAACTTTTGAAACTTTTATGCCTTATAAGGGCGATTTTTTCATTATGATTTTTGTCTATTTTCAGCAATGTTGGCTGTTCATATATTTAACAGGTTTCTGTTTTTGGGGGTGTGGATTCGATTCCCAAGAAAGTTTAATGCTAATCATTAATTTTTT